TGTGTGTGTGTGTGTGTGTGTGTGTGTGTGTGTGTGTGTGTGTGTGTGTGTGTGTGTGTCGTTAATGTGATTCAGAGACCTGGATCCACCACCCAGCGCAATCAATAGCTGTTTCATTTCACAATCTCTCAATGCCTTATAAAGAAAGCCCACTCCTTTTCTCTCTCTCTCCTTCTCTTCCTACCCTGCAACAGCCAGCCTCCTCCTTACGGCTCTCCCGTGGGTACCGGAAAGATCCGTGCTCACAGACACACACATATATGTGCACAGAGACAAACACAAACACACACACGCTCCCCACCTGCCAGCTGGACTTAATGCCCAGACATTAAACCTGTGAGCACATCCTGAGAGCCCCGAACGCTGGATGAGAGACAGCGAGTGTGTGACCCCGCTCTCTGAATCAATAAAAATGAGTGAAGCCCCCCACTATAAAACACAATGTGATTTTCCTCCTGCAGTACAGACGGCCGGTCACACAGACAGATGGATAAACAAACACGTCTCGCTGGTGCACGAGGTAAACATGATACGCTTCTGATACGGGTTAGTAAGGGTTTCACACTCCCATTGGAAGGACAACTCATAAATGAGATCTTTTAAATATCTCAATTAGTTTTCCTAGACAGCAATGAGATTTAACGAAGGACAAATGGAGGACTTTGCTCATGCGTCCTCCTTCTCAGATCTTTTGAAACCAAACCTAGCAATCTCACATGTCAACAAGTGGTCTAGAGTCAATACAATATCAACATTTATCTATATAACATAATGTTAAATTATACAGATTTATAAATGAATACATGTACATTCACCATTTACTTTTGATAATATATAAAGATGTTAAATTATACATGTTTATAAATAATACATGTTCATTTAAAATAATTTTTGATCATATTAAATATAATCCTATGTATTTATACTCATGAATTAATATTTTTAAATTTTGGAATAGAGGAAATGTATTTATTTAAATATGATATAACACCATATATGAAAATGTTAAGTTATACATATTTATAAATAAATTAATGTACATTTATAATTTACTTTTGACAACATAGTAATATATATTTGTATTCATAAACATATATTTTGGAATAGAGGACATTTAGAGTCAATTATAAATTATTTATTTAAATATTATATATTCCAATATATGAGTGTATATTTATAATTTACTTTTGATAATATGAAAATTATTATAAAAGATTTATATTTTATACACACACACACACACACACACAGTAATTTATCCAAAATTTACAGTAAATTATAATTTACCTATTTATTACTGTAAAATATAACATTCTACCGTAAAACTCTTTTCAAAAGCAAATGCACATAAATGTGTTATTAATACATTTCAAGACCAAATCATCTGAGCTGCTATCTGCATTAATTTTATAGATCTAAATATTTTTGTACATAAACAATCAACTCATTTGTGCCCATTTCGATTCCTCCTAAGCAATTTATAAGAAACATTGGAGACAAAGGTGCTACTTAAATTAAACATGACTGAGAGACATGATGAAACTATGAAAGAGCAACATCTGAGCAAAAATCCTCCTTTAAGATTGTAAAATGAAATAAAAACAAAGCAGTATGAACACTAGGGGAAACACTTCTGACCATGTGCTCATTTGTTAACTTATGTGAGTTTTTACACACTGAAGGATATCGACAGACGGACGTTTACTCACAAGGTGAGTTTCCAGGTAGAGTTTGAGGCTGTCGATATCAGCTCTGGGTGGCGTCCAGTTGTCTGTGGTTTCGAGAGCGTCTCTCAGCCAGCAGATGAACTCATCCAGTTTACTGACAAAACCCTGCAAGAACAAACACGCAACACACAGACACATCAACACAACAATCAAATGTGATTGCTTTGACATCAAAAGTCTCGAAACATAAAAATCTTAACAAAACCACCATGTGTTACACCACAACACAACAAACGGGACCGCCGAAAAAAATAATCAAGTTTTTTTTTAAGGTTTGATAAACTGATAACTGTTTCGAAGCATTTGTCAAAAGCACACAATGCTTAAGGGAATGTCACACAGAAGCTGCCCTTGATGTGCCTCAATGGCTTTTTTCAGTGAGAGGAGATTCAATGTGCTCGGTGTGTACATACTGCCATCTGCTGGACCAAAGAAACACTAGATTCCACCAACTGGTTCTAGCTAAAACAAATACTGGAGGAACAGCTCGCTCAAAAATTAAAACTGTCATTATAAAGTCTTTCATTCATACACCAAAAATGAGACGTTTTACAGAATGTCCAAACTGCTCTGTTCCAAACAACAATTGCAGATGGAGTGTTTTATACCTCAAAAAGGACAAAACAACCCATAAAGGAGTCTATATTAGTATCTTTAGCCATCTGTCAAATCTTCTGAAGACACATGAAAGCTTTGTGTGAGGAACTGGCCAAAATTTAAGTTGTTATTCATTGAAAATCTCCCACCTCTGCCGCAGCTCTCAAATGTTTCATAAGACTTCAGAAGTCTAAAAAGTATACTTTTATGGCACCGTTGTGTTATGTTTGGTGCTCAGCAGCACTTATTTTCATTGCATGAAAAATGAGCAGTTTGGACATTTTTCTTCTGCATATGAAAGAAAAAGTATGAAATGAAGGTGAGTAAATGATGACATTTTCAGGCGAACAATTCCTTCAAGTCTGTGGTTAACCAGAGGGTGAACATCAAGGATCTGAGCTCTAATTAGAGTGACAAATATGCCGGTCTTCTGATGTTCTGATGTCATACGCCCAAACGGATCAAATGCCATTTCATAAAGTCTCTAATGAACCATCTGAATGTAATATGAGAACATCTCACCCTTTCTCCAAGGCAGCTCCTCCTGCTCAGTATCTAACATTGGCGAAAAGAGATATTGATATAAATGATATATATATAGATATATACAAAGATATTGATATAAATGACCTCTCCGCAGACACCGGCTAAAACTCCCATAATTTATCGACTGATTGGCCTTCACCGGCAGACAAGCTTTGAAGTGGGTGAGACTGGATCTGCTTTCAAAGCTAAATGCTGGAGAGGAATCAGATCTGCCATTTCTGTTGTCAGAATAAGGCCTGAATGCATCTCCTACTGGTTTCTATGCATTGAACCGATCAACTGGACCTGGTTTTGTTCTGGCGGACTGTTTTGGTCAAGCTGGCCGGAGCTGGTAGACCACTTTTATGTTGAAAGAAAGCCCTGAAACTATCGCACATCTCTCCAGCTCTGCTGCAATATGGTACATCATCATATAGACCAAAGGAATTCTGCGAGATTGTGGCAGTCGATGGAGATCAATAGATACTGCTGCTAAATGATTCCCCTGGCAGGGGCGACGTGCGATTCGCTCTCATCTTGTGCACTGATAAAGCTCTCAGAGCAGATGAATATGTAGCCGCTGGTCACGGCATTAACTGAGCTTGTCACCAGACCTGTTTGTGAGCATGTTACAGAGGGAGGAAGAGAAAATGAGACACGACTCCATGCCCCAGAGAAAGAAAAAGAAAGAGACAGAGAGAGTGAGAGAGCACTAATGGGCGAGGGCAGTCGGTTGCCGCCAAATTCATATTTGAATTGGACAACCTCAGAAAGCAATCACTGCTTTTATCGCCATATTCAATGCTTACAACAAGAATTGTCACCTAAAAAATGAAAATGTGTTGATTTGATCACCTTGATGTTGCATGTCTGCTTTTATCAGCATATTCATGTTGTCTGTTTATTTGCATTAAAAAGGAATTATTCGCTCAAAAATTTAAATTTGTTGTTAATCACCCTGATGTAATTTCGAACCTGCATGCTGATATTTTTCATATGATATTTTGGAATGCAAAAGGAGAATATTTGGAGAACAATCACACAGATAAAACAAAACAAAACAAAATAAAACAAAACATTGCCAGTCATAAAAATGTCACAATGAAAAACTGGCTTAATTTTCTAAATGCAATAAATAAATATGTTCTTAAGTACAGGACAAAAAATATTGACCTTTTTCATGATATTCTAATTTTTTTAGATGTACCTGTATAAGCTTTGTTTTTATACCTAATATAATAATTTACATATACAAATTAAAACAGTTTTATTTCATATTTGTAATATCTATCTCTTATTTTCTATCTATCTATTTATCTATCTATCAATCTATCGATCTATCGATCTATCTATATCTATCTAGCATTTTCTCTTATTTAATATCCCTTTTAATCTAATCTTTTTTTGTAATTATTTTTTTTGTACATTCTTATTTTTATTTTCAATACCATAACTGGCACCAAAAATAAAGACGCAAAGACAAAGATATGCAAAGAATGTCAAAGTGGGGGGAGGCAGAGGAGACAGAGAGAGAGAGCGAGAGAGAGAGATGGAAAAAGACAAGGAGAAGGGGAAGACGGGTTGGTGGCGTCACACATGAATAGGCCCCTGAGACGCCCCCAAGAAAAGGCTTCAGCTGCCAGCTGTCTGTTGCCATGAGAATGAAGTCATCTCCAGCGGCTGAATACTAATGTAATCAATCACCTCCTCCTGTGACACGCATCATCTCAGGTGGATGTGGCTGCCTACCTCCACCCGCTCCAGTGAGCTTACTGCACACACTCACACACACACACACGCCTGCACTGGAATCAAAGGAAGGATTACAGCAGAAAACTTTTGAGGGCATCCTTCCCTTCGCTAGTCATTCACCTCCATTGGATCGGCATGATTGCCATGGATGCTGTTCCTAAGACATGAGAAGTGTTATGAAGTAGCTTTCAAAAGTGCTTCCTGTGCTATAAGGATTGATCTTCTTGGATGAAACAGAAGACTGAATTTGGAGGTGATAAAATATGCATTAGTGTGAACTGAAAGAATTCCAGTGGACGATATAAATTCATGACACTGGACGAAATGTGTCTAATGTTATTGATCATTGTAAATCAGTGGCCATTTACATAAAATTAGCCTCTGTGTTAAGACTATGTTTTAAGAACTAGTCTGACCAACTAGCAAGAAGTAAACAGTCTTATTTTTTATTATTTTATTTTTAATAGCACTCTATGTTTAAATCTATTTTTTATTGTAACTGACCTTTGATCTTAAATAATTAAAACAGACGACTTATTTGTAAGACTATTCCAAGTATTTTATGCAACCAACCATAGAATGAATGGCCACAATATTGTTCACAAACAGTATAACCATAATTCCCACTAAAATACCAGAGTTACAAAACTAATGCAAACTCTTAATAAATTAATATGACACCTCCTTCAAACAGTACAAGAATTATTCAGCTTTTTTTATGACAATAGTGGCTAATATTAAATTACCATGTTTTGACTGTAGAAACCATAACTTAAATTTATATTGCATTTTGGGGCACTATGCAAGTTTTTTAAACCAAAACATCAAAAGATGCATCTAAATGACCTTGTTAAATAAACTTAATCTGATGCACTCATGATTGACTCATTTTCATAAACACACAGATATTAATCTATATTAATTTAGGTTTACAGAATGGTGTTCTTGGTGAGAATTTGTATTTGACCACCAGATGGCGATAGCACGCTACTGTGTCTCTAAGGCAGTCAACCAAACAGTAAAACTAATCTCAATGGTCAACCGTCAGGAAATAAAAAATGTGTTATTCTTTAATCTTTTTAGAACAAAACTTTGCCATTTCTTATATTGATGTAATTCTTATTTATGTTCTTTCAAACATAAAGTGTAATGCATTACTGATGAGATCTGATGAAGCTAGATTGCTAAATAATAAAACGTCACAGAATTAAATGACTGCTTACTGCAACAGTATATTGCCATCTGTTAAAAAAAAATAATACGTTTACATGCATTATTCCATGATAAATATTTCAAACAGCAGTATGCCACATTGTTGTCACATTGTGCTGACCTCACTAGTCTGTCTCATGACGTACAGTAAGCGTCATATTTGGCTCATTTGACAACCTGCTTGTGATGTTCCTTATTTGCTTAATAAAAGCATCTGCAAATAAAATGTAAATGCAATTGCATATATAATTATTTTATTATTTTTTTAAATGTATTGATGTGGCAGTCTGATCAAATGAGTCAAAAAAAGCTAAAAACAAAGTCGCTTTTTGGGATACAACATTTCAGCAAATGCAGGTCATCTGGGCATTTCCATGCATCTAGAAAATGTGCATATTGTGCATAGTGCATATACTACATAGTTCAGCAATAGTAAGAGTATGATAGTATGCTATTCTGCACATAGCCCATAAGAAAGTGAAGAACTAGTCTGACAAGTTTGGGTTTCCTCAAGCACCCGGGTCCTTTATAAACACGATTGCATGTTCTTAATTACGTAGCTAATCATTTAATTACAGATCTGGGACTGAAGAGAGGTTGTTGAGGAGTGCAATCCTGTTAATTAAGCTTTGAATATTAGCAAAAGGCTGAGGTGGCTTGTTAGTTCATTACCCCTTTAGTTATCAGCTGTTTTTAATATGTGCTTAGTGTAGTGACACATATTAACTGCCGCCTCTATGTGAATGAGGATTAAGGCATACAAATGACTTCCTTAATGATTATATCCCTTTCAAATTAAATCGGAAATGCAGAACTGTGATAAATGTAAGTTTAACCAGTGAGAGGGTTAACATTAACATTTGCTTATTTAGTTTTGCTGAGTGCAAAGTATTTGAGGAATAGTGTCACAGTACACAGTATATATGGAACTGTATACAGTATATACTGCACAGTATTTAATATACTGTATATACAACAGTTTGCAGTTACGTGTGGCACAACATACAGTATGGAACAGTATAAAGCATATACTGCATGGTTTTTAGTATATATGGCACAGTATACAGCATATACTGCACAGTACTCAGTAAGTAGTAAGCTATTATTAAATTTCAAAAATAGTCCTTGAAAAAGTTATACAAGAATACTATTCCAAAAAGCAGAAATCTCTTACCTCTAGATTCGCCCAAACATCATGGTAGTTCTCTTGGTGCTGAATATCTGCTAGTAGTTGCTGTATCGAGGGTGTGCACTGAAACATCATCTTTGGTGCATTGGGCCGGCCAGCCGATATATTTCTACCCCTGGACTCAGGTGTACTTCGCGCCCCCTCATCCTCGGAAAACAGGTCGCTGAGTGGGCCAGACTCGATGCTTTCATCCAGAGAAGGTGCCACGTCGCTCGAGGAGGTAGGTGAAAAGCGGCCGGCTCGGGAGGGCTTCTTATAGGAGTGAAGCAAAAGAAGATCATTGTTGCTCTCCCAATCAGGGTTGACCTCAGTAAGCTCCCAGTCATCCACGTCCTGGATGGACTCTTGCAGGCTCCTTTGTGGTAAAGCCTGAGCGAGGCTTTCCAGCTTCATCGCCAACATCTCTGTCTTTTTCAGCTGGGTGGGAAGAGCGAGGAACTCATCTGAGCCATACCATTGCTCTTTGGGGCTTCCTGATGGGTTGGAGATGCACAGAGCATTCTGGTTCATGATCCAGAGAGAACCTGTGGTGGGAGCTTGATCGTCTGGACTGGATGACATTTCCCGCTGGTCAGGGTCTGAGATGTCCTCCCCTGAAGATGGTGGAGGGCTGGAAGAGTCACTGTAAGCCTGCTTGGCTTTGGAGTGCATAGTCTTGAAGTTTGTCAAGTGCTTCTGCGTGTGGAATCCCTGCATGGCCTCTGATGAGCGTCTCTCCAGAGGGACTTCCGATGGTCTCTTGAGACTCATCTGCAAGTTCCTCCCGTTTACAGCATGGAGACTCTCATAGGACTGACTCCCATTGCCTGGATAGACTGATTCCAGCTCCAGCCAGAACTTCGAGCGATCCGGTGTATCTAGAAGGGAGGGTGTGCTTCTGCTCATATCAGCCTGGTACTGGAGAGGCAAAGACCTAGTGCACCTTGTGTCCCCATCACCCTCCAGGTACATGGGCTTTTTAGGCAAAGGCTGTGTAGGAGACACATCACTCTTAAAGCCACTTTGAAGAGGGCGTTTGGAAAGGCCAAAGCCACAATCTCCCTGCATTGCTGAATCTGGTGCGCTTTCTTCTTTGGTGGGGCCACTGATTGTCTCTTGAGGTTCCTGGGTGGAAGTAATGGACTCTTCTGCAGATGGAGTTGACACCTGGTTTTGTCTAGAGGCTGCGATGTTTAGGAGATCCACACTCTGAAGCAGTTCTGGAAAGTCTTGCTCCAACTCGGGATAAAGGGAGCGTGGCCCTCGACCTTCTGGGTCGTCAATGGGGCTGTAATCACTCAGTTCGTAAGCAGTGATGCCGCAGTCCAAGGAGAAGTAGTCCTTAGTGCATTTAATAGTCAGTTGGCCAGAGTCGTCCACTTCTGTCAAATCGTCCAGCCGAGCCTAAAGATGATCAAGACCACAAAAACAAACATTCATTTGCAAATATTTGCAAACTCAAATTTAAAATGTAATGAAATCAATCCTGAATTGATCTGGGATAAGCAAGTGCACTTCACTGCAAGTGTTTGCTAGAAAAGCATGTTTGCAAGGGTTGCCTATTCTGAATGTCTTTGGTCAAGGGTATAACAAATGAGTTTATGGTACACTCCCAGCAGAACATTGCATAACTAACTTTCTGTCCTTGTGAATTAGTAAGGGATGTACCCTGAGTAAGGGATGTACCCGCTTTAGGTGGTTTAATTTGGATGATGTTTTGGAGATTTATCTGACCTCGTTGTGATCCTGGCTGAAGGCTTGCAGTATGTCAGTCTGGCGGGTGTAGTTGCCGTTGGAGTCCTGGAGGCCCTGGAGAAGCCTCTCTTTCAGAACCAACACAGACACTCGCAACTGGTGCCAGAGGAGCTGCACGCTCTGGATGTCCACTATGATGTTCACCGAGTAGGACAGGAGCTTCAGGGAGAACTCGGTCTCCAACAGGGCATGGATCTGCTCAACATGATCCGATATGTCTTCACAGATGTCCTATCAGACAGACAAATGCACAGTCAGTCAACTGATATTATGATCTGCTATTTTATGCATGGAATTATACATCATATGATGGCACTGGATTCCTACAGCACAATTTCTGATCATGTGGCTTTCTCAACTACTTCCTCCTGTGCTAAAATACCTATTTCCATCAGCAACCCAGAACCCACAGGATATCCAAATTAAAATATGGATGACGTTGAATGTTCAGACAAAATAGTTCATATGAATTACAATTCATGAGAAAGAGCAGAAAGAACGGGACATGAGTAACAATTACTTTAGAATTCTCTGAAAGAAGAGAGATTTTTCCAGAATCACGACTCACTGATGCAAAGATTGAATTACTCAACAGGATATATCTACATCATGCATACCAAATACCATTTCAAGGCTTTTCTGGAGTTTTAGCATTTAATATTGTTTTGCTAAAAGGAACTAAACTTCAGTCAAGTGAAGACTACTTGAACCTACCTTCAGCCAGGCACAAGTGAAACAACATCACCATGTTATGTATCCATGTAAGAGGAAATGGAGGGACATTTGAGTCATTTTCTCATGACAAGTGAATAATACAGACGAGATCTCAGAATATACCAAAGAGCACCACACTGCCCATGTGGTTTTCCCAGTAAATTACGCCTTTCACAACATATACACTACCGTTCAAAATGAATGTACGTAGTACTGTACAGTGCTGTTGTGCTACTTGACATTTTTATGATTTTAAGATGATTTCACTGGGATCTTATTGGGATATACATAATATCATTATAGTTGCTAACCAGTTGCTTGTTTCATCAGGTTCATCTGATGTGAAAGTCACAGCAGCGAAGAGCACATTTACGACCGTGGGTCACTAGGTCTAGGGGGCTTTTCTTTTACTGTCACTGTGGTTCAAATCATAAATCAAGCAGCCATGGGCTGATATTAAAAGGCTAGTTTCAGAAGCAGTAACTAATTTCAGAAAATGAGATCACAAAACAGAATAAGATGAGATGGTGTAGAAACACTACACAGCAACTGCACATTTAAATAGACCCCAAAAACATATTTGGACATTTAATTCTCAACTTAAAGGTGCAATAGGTGATTGTCTTCAGAAACATTTTTTGTTATGCTGGTTGAAAGTCTCTTCACATCCCGATAGCAATCATTAAGTTAAGTGGTCTAAATGTATTTATCTGTATTTATATATTCTGTGGAAGAAAGAAACAGGACCAAGAAATGTTCGTCCAATCAAAATGCTCGTTCCGAGCGTTTTGATTGGCTTTCCAACCTGTCTGTCAACATATGTATTTGCATACCTCTGCGCACCCGGTTCGCGCAGATAGGATACGTCATCAGCGTGTTCACGTACGCGGAGCAGACAGAATGGCAGGCAAACATCAACAACCTGATCGTCCTTCCTGGTACTTTTACTAACTGTACTATGAAGTTTTCTCACCGGTGAATGACACATGATGTATTGTAGTAATATTGTCTCTGGTTGTCTGGTCTGTGTGCATATATATACGTTCAGGAGGCATGGCTTTTTGGACGGCAATTTGCTGGGAGGGTGGGACGTTCTCTTTCAGTGCTATCAGGCTAAAATTAGCATTTTCCAAGATGTCCTACTGTGTCATTCATTACATTAGACAATGATTGCATGTGAAGTCAGATAACAATTGCATTTTTTCTACAAAGTAATGCAATGAGAGACTTTTTAAAGTGTACCCTAAGTGTCCAAATACAGTTTGGGTCCACTGTTTGTGGTTGGATCATGTCATGTTCCCTCCCCCAGCCTGTGTAAGTCGGGAGGCTCAGCTGCTAGGAAAGTCTGGCAGTTGCCTCATCTTACCAAACTTAAAACACTGTCATTTATAAAAACTTTTAATTTAGGAGTAAAAATAGGACATGTTTCCAAGGACATAAACTGTAACTTCCTTTTGAAACATTTTGCCACTTTGCTATCATTGTAATTGCATCATAAAATAGTATTTGTATTTAACTGCATTAAATACAAAATATCAATCCAAGTGGCAACTGCATCTTTGACATCACTGTGTTTTTTTTTCTTTCTGAAAAACAAACTAGTTCAGTATTTTGTCCAAAACGTGTGAAAATGTCAGAACCTAAAAAGCACTGAGACAATTAAGAGAAAGGTGAGAGAGAATATAGTTCACAGGAGCATTTATGGGGCACGGCAGACATGCCAAAACAACTGCAGCTCGTTGTCAACATAGCAACACCAGAGCTGTGGCCAGCATCTCTGATACGGTGTCGTCCACTCCCTAAAATAACACGGCACCGCTGAATGTAGGTCAGACATGCCGCCAAAATGCAGCAGGTCCCATACACTCCTGCCTCGCTGGCTCAAAAACAAACAGTAGAGTACAAGCTGACCATGTTACAGGGTTCATAGATCACCTACTGCAGCACACATGCTGTAATACAGATTATGATGACTAAATCAAACCAAAAGGTCCCCTGAAGATAGTATCAAGATTTATTGTAACAGAAAAATCACACAAGAATCACATAAATAAGATTCAAATATCTAATTCAATATATATTTAAATGATATAGTGGGAGAACTACTTTAGTTTGGCTATTAAATGGCCGTTGAACAAAACAAATGCTTTTACACTAAGCAATTTCAAGCTTAAAACATATCAGGGTTGATTTTAAACAGTATCTGGTATGTTTGACTCTCTAATGACTCAAATTACTCTTAATTGATTCTTATTGGTCAACTGCAGCATTATAATGACCACAAAAATATTTAATTGATCATGGTCTCAATTTCTTACATAGCTGTGCAGGTTTCAAGTCTCTCATATGACTCTGTGGTGTCTTCCCCGCCACTCAAATCAATATTTTATGTCCTATTTTCCAAGGTCAATGTCACAAAATACACCATTCAGGGTCACACAAGACCCTGATCACCTAGTCTTTATTTTGTGAAACTGACCAGCTAACTGTACGTATATGTACACCAAAAAATAATTTTCCCCCAAAGAAATTAATACTATTCCACAACAATGTTTAACAGCAATAATAATAAGAAATGTTTATTGAGCAACAAATCAGCATATTAGAATGATTTCTGAAGGACCATGTGATACTGAAGACTGAAGTAATGATGCTGAAAATTCAGCTTTGATCACAGGAATAAATTACATTTTGAAATATATTCACATAGAAAACTGTTATTTCAAATGTTAATAATATTTCACTATAGTACTGTCTTATCAAAGAAATACAGCCTTGGTGAGCATAAGAGACTTCTTTCAAACATCTTTTGAAAAACCTACCGACCCAAAAATTTTAAACGGTGTACCACGATAGTTACACCGTTGTACAAAAAACCTTGGTAGTACTATGGTACTTTTGGGTACTTTTTCCATCACTAGCCAGTGAAAGTGACAGGGAACGGTGTAATCGCGCCACAGCTGCCCTCTCAATACCATGTGACCTCTGATGACACAAGCACATGGATACAAACACTCTCACGTAAATAAACTTTCAACAAAAGTTCTTCCTTTTCCAAATGCAAAATAATACAGAAAACTTTTCCTACAAAACACGCCATTTCTCAGCCTTTATCATTTAGAAATCACCAAACACAAACCCAGCCTACTCAGTTATCCATAAAAGAAGCACAGCCACTCGACTTCCCACCCTAACAATATTTCAAACAATCTCAGCAATGTCAACCCATCAGTGACTTCCTGTTAGAAAAATACTTGAGCGTGTCAGGTGATCCGTCCTCTTACCTGCTCGCTGGCTTAAGTAAAACACAATGAATCAAAGAGAATGAAGTCAGAGATTGGTTTAGTGTGCTCTGCGCTGCACTGAAGTGTGTCAGATCTGATGTCAGATGTGACAGCTCTGTGCGCTCGTGCTGTCTGATATGCTGTCGTTCTCTCTCTCCGTGTATCTCTTCCTCACTCACTTCACTGGCCTGTTTCTTCCATTCTGTCTTTCTCTCTGGAGGAGGGGCTGTCTCACAACACCGAGGGGCTATTTTGGGACCTGACCTCTCCCTCCCTCCAGCAGCCCTCGTGCTGCTCTCACTTTGTCTGGCCCACCGGCATGGGCAGCTGCTGTGGGGGGAATTACACGGGGTTTGAGGCGTAACTGGAGACACTAAGGTCACAGCACATACTGGGGCTTCCACATTAGCATTAACACCAACAAGGCTAGTACATTACATTGTACAGTATAATACAACCTATATGTGCAAAAAAATCAGGTTTATTTACTGTTGTGTTAAGGATTTGCATACTAAAATGCTTCATAATGCAGATCAGTTTATTTGGCACAGTAGATTTCAAGCAAATGCATCATCATAAGCATCGACATCTGCATTTTTATCTCTGAATTTGAAACAATGAACACAAATATTAAAATAATGTTAATCTCTCTGAAGATGCAAAAGATTCTTCAGAAAATCTAAAAGCTTCTTGATGTAAAATTTGTGAAGTATGCTGTATGCTGCATTGACACTATTCGTTTTCAAAATTATTAAATGAATCATAGTAAATACCTCAAATGTTGCCATCATGGAAATACCATGGTATTTGATGAAGTTATACTTTGGAAAACCATGTAAATATACAAATGTGTTAATCATACACCGTTCAAAAGTTTGGGTTCATTAAGATGTTTTGAAAGAAATTAATACTTTTATTCAGCAAGGATGCATTAAAATTATCAAAAGTGACACTAAATACATTTATAATGTTACAGAAGATTTATATATATTTTTTTAAAAATGCCATTCTTTGCCTCTATTTGTCAGACTTTTGTACCTGTTTTGCCCCGTAGTCCTTCCTGTGTTTCCTTATTTGGTAAAGTTCCTGTCCTCGTTTAGTTTGATTATGTTCCATTGATGTCACCTGTGTTCCCCAATTATCCCTTGTATTTAAGTTCTAGCCTGTGCCATTCTCCCTTGTCAGATATTGAATGTTCGTCTTGTGCTACATCTGTTCCTAGCAGCCCTGTGT